TTTGTTGCAATGGTCAAACAAAACTCACAAATACAATTATTGGGTTTATTAGGGAAGTGTTGCTGTTGTTAGGTGTGACTCATAGCAACCCTATGTACAACAGAACGAAACACTGCCTAGTCCTGCACCATCCTCACAATCATTGCTACACTGGAGCCTTCCACTGCAGCCTCCGTGTCAATCCATCTCATTGAAGGCTGCCTTCTTTTTCACTGACCCTGTACTTTATCAAGCATGAGGTCTTTCTCTAGGGACTGGTCCTTTCTGACAACACAACCAAAGTACAAGAGACGAAACCTGGCCATTCTCGCTATTAGGGAGCATTCTGGCTACTGCTTCCAAAACAGATTTGTTTATTCTTCTGGCAGTCCATGCTATTTTCAATATTCTTTGCCAATACCACAATTGAAGTGCATCGATTCTGTGGTCTTCCTTATTCATTGTCCAGCTTTTACATGCATAAGAGACTGTTGAAAATATTATGGCTTGGGTCAGGCACACGTTAGTCTTCAAAGTGACACCTTTGCTCTTTGACACTTTAAAGAGATATTTGGCAGCAGATTTGCCCAGCACAATATGTTCTCTAATTTCTTTTTTTAAAATACATCTTATTGAAATATAATTTATGTACAGTGAAATGCATAAAACTAAAGTGACATGGGTCAATGCATTTTTTTTCTTTGCAGTGTTCCCTCCCCTCCCTTCCCACCTCTGGTAACCAACAAAGAAAGTTTCCTTCCATATATAAACCTTTCCTTGACTTTTTACCATAACAGACTAATACAATACTTGTCTTTCTGTGATTGACTTATTTCACTCAGCATAATGTCCTCCAAGTTCATCCACGTTATGCGGTATTTTGCAGATTCTACGTTATTCTTTAGCATTTCATAGTATTCCATTGCGTGCATGTACCATAGTTTGCTTATCCATTCCTCAGTTGATGGACACCTAGGTTGTTTCCATCTTTTTGCTATTGTGAATAGTGCTGCGATGAACATGGGTGTGCATATATGTTCTCTAATTTCTTGACTGTTGCTTCCATGGGCATTGACTGTGGATCCAAGTAAAATGAAATCCCTGACAACTTCAATCTTTTCTCCATTTATCACAATGTTGCTTAGTGGTCTGGTTGTTCTCTTTCGTTGAGGTGTAATCCAGACTGAAGACTGTAGTTCTGACCTTCATCAGTAAGTACTTCTCATCTGCATATTGTGTCATCTGCATATTGCAGGCTGTCATGAGTCTTCTTCATATAGTCCAGCTTCTCGGATTATTTGCTCAGTATACAGATTGAATAAATATGGGGAAAGGATACAACCCTGATGCACACCTTTCCTAATTTTAAACCATGCAGTATCCCCTTGTTCTGTTCAAACAGTTGCCTCTTGGTCTGTGTACAGGTTGTTCATGAGCACAATTAAGTGCAATGTTATCCATAATTTGTTAGGATCCACACAATCAAATTAGGCAAGTAACAGATTACAATTCAGCATCAGAAATGACTCAGGACACAGTTCTATCAGGACAGCCTGTTCTCAGCAGTGCCCACAGGCATGCTGTCTCTGGCCCTTGGCCTCCTGGCTCTGTAGCCCTTTGGCCTCTGCCCTGCTCAGGA